TTACTTATCATCAACATCTTGATCCGGTACATGCACATTGCAATGGAAGTTGTGAATTTAACCCAGGTTTACAGATCATTTAATATTCACCTAAATTGTATAATATGAAATTAACATTAATATTAAAATAAAATGGAAATTTCCGAGAAAAATCTTTTATGAAGTTCATGAACAAGTAACAATTGACACACTTCCGGCTAGGAACAAGTAACTAATGCCGGGCACATTCCCGGCTAGGAACATGTACTTTGCAATAAAAGTGGACCACGTTGGGTTGAACCAGATTTTGGCTCACCCAACTTTCAATTTGATACAACCAATTCTTCATACCCATACTGTTTTGTTAAACTTTTAAAATGACTTCCTTATGCATGAAATTTAGAAAGTCTGGTTTTAATTTTTACAGCGGTACCACTGCTGGTGGACTGACAGTCCCCGAGGGTATCGTCAGCTCAGTAGTCAGTACTTCGGCACTAAAATTGTCCGTTTATAGATTTATTAAAGAAACTACGATTTCAACTCCCTCATGCAAAATTGACATTAGATTAATTCTGCTAGTGTTAGGCTCTTGTTGGTCATATAGATCTTTCACTGTTTCGGTTCTAATACATCCTCGTCTTCCAAATATTCGGCTTTGAGCATTCAGATGAAGGTAAATAAAAAAAGCGATTCGGACGGATGAAATTTAGAAAGTGTTGTTTTCATTTTTACAACACTGGGTCGATACCGCTGCTGGTGGACTATCAGTCCCAGTGGGTATCATCAGCTCAGCAGTCGATTCTTCGGTACTGACATGACATGATTTATAACAAACCTGTCTAAAATTGGTCGTTTATTAATTTAGAAATTAAAACGACTTTAAGACTTCATTCCCCTCAGGCAATGCTGACCTTGGATGGATTTGGCTATTTTCTTATACTTTTTGGTCATATAGATCTTCCATTGTTTCGGTTTTAATTTTTTATGAAGTTTTTATCATATAACACACGAGGCAAGTCAACAAAACCACCATCAATCACTACAACAACGAGGCAAGTCCACAAAACCACAACCAATCACTACAACAAATGAGGAATGTCAACAAAGCCACCAGAAATAACTACAGCAAATGAGGAAAGTAAAAAGAAAACCATCAACAATCACCACAAAAAAGTTCAGACAAGTCAACAAAACTACCAGAAATCATTGCAACAAATGAGGCAAGTCAACAAAACTACCAGCAATCACTACAACAAATGAGGCAAGTCAACAAAACTACCAGCAATCACTACAACAAATGAGGCAAGTCAACAAAACTACCAGCAATCTGTACAACAAATGAGGCAAGTCAAAAAAACTACCAGCAATCACTACAACAAATGAGGCAAGTCAACAAAACTACCAGCAATCACTACAACAAATATGGCAAGTCAACTAAGCCACCAGCAATCACTACAACAAATATGGCAAGACAACAAAACTACCAGCAATCACTACAACTACTAAGGAACTACCAATAATCAGTTCAACTACTTAGTCAAGTAAACAAAACCATCAACAATCATTTTAACTACAGTTGACTTAATCAGTCAAGTCAACAAAACCCCTAAATATCGGTCAAAAACTAGGACAAGTCAATCTCTTCACCAACATTTAGTTAAATTACTGCGACAAGTCTTTCAAACTACCAACAAAAAAAAATCATATAATTAAGCAATTCAACAAAACCACCAGCAATCAGTTAAACAAGTGAGGAAAGTCAATCTTACCAAACAACAATACGATCAACTCTGATGATCAAATAATGTAACATCAACAAGCTAAAGGAATCAGGTAAGTCCCCAAAATCTTTTTTGATTCGAGCGTCACTGATGAGTCTTTTGTAGACAAAGCGCGTCTGGCGTACATAATTTTAATCTTGGTATCTATGACGAGTTTATTGACAACCACTGGGTCGATGCCACTGCTGGTGGAGGTTTCTCCCCCGAAGGTATCTCCAAACCAGTAGTCAACACTTCTGTGTTGACATAAATTATCATTGATATGGTTATAATTATAAGATAACTGTTTATAAAACTTTGATTTTTTCGAAATACTGAGGATTTTCTACCCCAGGAATAGATTACCTTAGCTGTATTCCGCTATACCTTTCGGGATTTTGGGTCCTCAATGCTCTTCATCTTCGTACTTTATTTGACCTTTGAAACTTTTTTGATTCGAACGTCACTGGTGAGTCTTTTGTAGACAAAGCGCGCGTCTTGCGTACAAAATTTTAATCCTGGTATCTGTAATGAGTTTATTCTCATCTAGATAAGTTGGCCAAACCGTCTTCTTTCTTTAAAAGTGTTAGACTTACCAAAACAAAAACAACAAGACTATTCAACAAAACGAAAAACCAAACCTACTAGGATGATAGTACTGACTTGAAACAATTCGTTCAAAAATGGAATACATTGTAATTTTACATGGATAAGTACTTACACCCCAGTTCTATTGTTATACTTCATAGTTTCTATTTCTGAAACAAGTGTAAATTGAATAGATCTATTGTTACGAATAACAAAGGATTTTGACCACAGGGTGTGACGAGCGGGGTTTCTGGAAACCCCTGCTTCTACATCCCGCAAACAAAGTCCATTGTTATTCGTAACAATAGAAATTTATTATTTTTTAAATAGCATGAACATAAGAAATTGCTAATAGTGTTCACTACAAATTGTTTCAAGATATTAAAAAAAAAACATTTTAGGAAATCCCAATAGCGAAAAAAATTAAGCATCAATTTTGAATACAAAAATAATCCTTTAAATACTCCTTTGCTTGAAGGTATTTTTTTTTATCCCAGTCATATGTCTCTATTCTAAAGCATTGGTCTTTAAAACAAATGGGGATTATAACTCCCGTGATCCCCCCCCTACGGTTACCCATTGGCCGATCTGGGGGTGGGGGTTCCGCGGTTTGGACCCGACTTTTATTTAAAAGATATATGCATTTTTTTCTCTTGAGTTGGGAACCCCCAGCTGGATCGCCCCTGTTTGCCCCCAAAAAGGGAGTTCCTAAATATTAAATCTGTATCTTTGTATGTTGAGCGTGTCTGGTAGTCTGGTCACACCTATCCCTTAGTATGTCCGAACCGAATATGAATGTTTATTTATTCTCGAGAAGAGGGGGGGGGTTATAAATCCGTAAGATATAAAATACAGTTATGATTACCTTTGTTACACTGATACAGGTAAGTACTTTGGGTTATTGTATTGCCTTTATCTTAAGTCTCTTCTACCAAATCCAAAGCTTGCCACAAAATGTCGTCCGTCTTATACCCGTCCATATTGACAACTGCATACAAGGAGCATGATGTATTTTTGTTTGTAATAAGAATACACGAAACGGTCAACCTTGACCCGCTGATCCATTTTAGTACATGGATTTAACGGGAATATGCAAAACAACTTTGACATTTGTAAAATATAATCACTTGTCAAAGTTTGAACAAAGATACCATAAGAAAGGTTACTAGTGGGGTTTCATGTAATAAAATTTTTTTTTTTATAAATCATGGTTTGATATTGTCAATAAATATGCTATCGGTTTTTTTTTTTCATTTAATAATCAATGTTAAAAAATATAGGGTATAGAATGGGGTGTAAGTTAGTTATACACCTCGGGATACGGCGCGTCTGGATAAGAAACCCCTCCGGCCTCCGGCCGACGGGGTTTCTTATCCAGACACACCTATCCCTCGGTGTATAACTATTACATAAACCTATCAATTAGCCAAACTAGGCAATTCATCCAATTACTGACAGTCAACTGAACGAGACAAGGTTACCAAACTTTAATGTTTAGTCTAGAAAAGTCAAAAAGGAGAAAAAATAAAACATTTATAAATGAAAATCAAATGGACTAATAAGTTAGAATTAAGGCGGAAAAGTATTTAAATATAACGATGATTATTTGAATATAGGCGAAACCGGTCGGGAAAGAATTTTTAGAATTAAAGTTTTCTTAGTTCTATGAATTTCATTGGAATACGTTAGGACATTTTTGCGACTTTATTTGTTCACAATAAATTATTTAAAGCCTGAGAAGTTCCGATAAGGAATCTTCAAAAATGTTTCGTTTCTTCTTATTCGTTAGTTCAAATGTTAAACAAAGAAATAGCAATGCAATTATTTAAGATAATTATGAGGTCTATAAATCAAAGTTATTTATATATAAAAGAATGCATAAATTCGTCCTATAAATTCCTGTTGAAACATTAAAAATCGAACCAATGCTTAAACAAAAGGATTCAAAATAACTATTTATAGAATAACTAATCGAAGAATTCAAATAGAGAAAAATATTCAACGAGTGACCGAACAACACATTAATTCACGAATGCGCGTAGCGCATGAGTTAATTATCAGTGTTGTTCGGTCACGAGTTGAATATTTTTCGATATTTGAATTCTTTGATTAGTTATTCTTTTTATTACATTGGCAAATGGCTTTTTTTAATGAAATTAATGTAGAAAATGTAAGGAACTATATCTTTTTTCTACGCATTCACAATTTGTTTTGATCCGACGTTATCGACGTCTTGACAACGCCTATTGTTGTATGACGTCAGAGAGTGAAATAACCACGTTTATTTCACATGTGAAATTATCGGTTTTTATTTGACTGGGAAATCAATGTAATTCAATGCTACCAATGTAATAAAAACATTTATTGAAGTATGAAACGGTTTGCTTCTCTTCCTTTCTTTCTTTGAAATAGACTTTGTAAAGGTTTAATTTGCTATCTTCTTTTGATAGAACGTACCAAAAGGTTCCATATTGAGTTTTATCTTTTTATGTCGGATATTATATTTCTCGTGTTTATAAATGGTATTTACATACCGAGTTCAACTGAAAAAACAATAATTTTTCAAACGATAAAGATTATCCAACTGTAAACAGAATAGCACTCCGCAAGGAAATTCATGTAACATATTGAAAATCGATTAGGCAAATGGATTTACAATATCGAACGCAAGAGTAATTGTTCAAACTTTTATTTATCTGTTTGCGAATGATCGTGGTTAATACGTCAACAAACGTTTTTGATAGTACCCAATATTACAGTTTGTTTTATTCGGGTGCTACGTATTTGTTTATTTCTTTTTACTGTATTACCTTTATAACTTTTTCATTCCATTCCAGTATATTGGTTTGACATTAGAGAATAAGAACAACAGACCATCAATCAATGCCATAATTATCTAAACAACAACTCGGTTTCTAAACAAATTCATCAGTGAATTGCGGATTCCTCCAAGCACAGTCCTTGAATGCCCAGTTCCATCTAACATTCTTTCGTTGTCATTTTGACGGTTGGCCTTATTACCAGTGAAGAGTCGTGAAATGAGTTTATTCTGAACCTGTGATGATATATCAGTAGCCTCTTGTACCTCAATTGAAGTGGTTTTAGGTTCTATAAAAATTCAATACAAAAATATAAATATCAAATATTTACCATGTTTCTGACAAGAGAATCATGTTTCCCGATCTAAATTGTTGAAAGGAATTCACTTAAATTTTAACATCACAATATTTGCACTGCTAAGGCTATCAAAAAGATACACACATACAAATAGCAGCAAATTACTTTGAAAATAGAAATCATTAGACTGCGTTATGATATGTAACAGGCTTCATTAACCTTAATTGAAGATATTCAAATTATAATGTCTGTAAATTAAACATATTCTATCCGTCTCTGTGCTATTTAAGAATTTCCATGGACACAATGTCGTCGAGCATCGGAGCATCAGACGATTTAAACTTCATTTTCTTGTACAAAGAAAAATATCGAACCTGAATACACCTCCATCCTTAGCGACTTCATATACTTTAAAGGCAACTGACCAGACAGAAAATATGGTTTCATTTTGGTCCATGATGCTTTAATGAGCACGGATAGACATTTCATATTTTTCATGTCGGGGCCTTTTATAGCCGACTAGACGGTATGGGTTTTTCTCATTGCTGATTGAAGGTAGTACGGTTGCCTGTATATGGTAACAGCCTCTTCATTTGAACTTTGGTGGATAGTTGTCTCATTGGCAATCATACCAAATCTCTTTATTTTTATAAGGATAGAAATTAAAGGTAGAAATTTTATAAAAACAGAAGACTGTTAATTGAGATTTTGAACATATGTAAATTACTGCTGCCTCTAATTTTAGACGCTGGAAATATTTGGTATTTGTATTGCCCAGAAATGTGACAGCTTAATATGATCTGATATAACTCCTAGAACCAATTGTCACTTGTTACAACTCATATGCAACTTAATTTTTAAATAAACATTTAATCTCTTAGATTTGATTTAGATTTAAGCAGACGACGTAACTAACGCTGAATTCAAAATAGTTATTGATGATTATGATAACTGGTTGAAACATTGTCTTTTTTCTGTTTATCAAAATTAATTATATTGATTTTAATTGGTATTGTTATCAGCAGCAGTAGCAGTTCCCCGTATCGCAAGGTTTGTAACAGATATTTGAATAAATATATATATCATTTATAAGATTGTAAATATAAACCGATCTTATCAATCAAATTTTAGTTCCTTTGTTAATGTATTAAAATCATTAATTATCAAAATGATAAAGAGATAACTCGTATAACAAGAAATCATGTTTTAGATTAATTCACTAGCCGATCAATTGAAAATATTCCGATGAAAAGTCAGTTTTTACCAAATTGAATGATTGATCAATTGTAGGTATTTAACGATATTTTCGGCACTCTTAGTTATTTCGTGACGAGATATGGCGACCATTGTTTAATAGAGATTTACGAAAAGTCTCGGTACCGACTGTTGACACTGACTTTAATAGGTATAATGGAACAGGCGGAAACCCAGTTGAAATAGAACAAAAGAATCGAAGCTCTTTGTTAGAGAAGGCGATAAATGCTTACTGTAATGTTTACTGTAGTAACACAAATTTTAAAAGTTAATAGAAACAAATAAAATGACAGTTTTTTGCTAAATTACGAAATATTTTATCATAAAAACACAATTTGCATAAGTTTTCAATTTATCTATTACATAATTAAGCAGAACAATTATATATCAAGTCGACGACATGGGTATCTATTAAGTTGGATCTAAAAAATGCATAACCTCCGATTTTTCAAAAAAAATTACCACGGACGGAGAACATATCAATCTATTTGTTCCTTAATTTTCGTTTCTGCCCTTCCATTATGTGACTCGAGAAAAAATTCCAAAAAATGGGTAACAATTGCATCGAAAAGAGAAAATCGAGTGCACCTTTTTATGTTAGGGCGTGTTTGAGTTGAATATTTTGTCTTGAAAACGTAAAGAGCAAAAGTATTTGATACATCATCTCGCTTCAGATTCTATCATTTTTATATATCAAGGCTACAGGTTGACTTTATAACATCGAAAATTCACAGTACTAAAAAAATGAAATATATAGGTCAAGTGAAATACCTTTCTCATGAATCACAAAAACAGAGTAGGTGTGTTCGAATAGCAAATTTTTACTAAAAGTACTTGACGACAGACTTTTAAGTTGGATCTTAAAAATGCATATCTTCGAAAAAACTTCATTTTTTGTGTGTGATATCTAGGGTTTATAGTCTTCAACCGCTGAAAATTTTTAGTCTGCCCTTCCACGAAATATTGAATTAGAATTTTTTTTAAATGTTTATGAATTTTCGAAAATTCTACCTGACAACCGATCAGACAATAGTTTTAAGTTGACTAAATGCAGACAAGTACATTAGCTGATGCTCATTAGCTAGTAGATACATTTGTCTTTTCGAATACAACTGGCATATAAGGATCGTAATGGTGCTATGCGAATAAATTTATCGGTTTTCAAGAGCTAAATTGGCAGCGCGTCATTCCTACAATGGCTTCCATTTTTACGATTGTAAAAATGAACTGGCGTAATGGGGAGATAATTTTGACGAAGTAGAATCCTGACTGGGAAGGGGTCGTCTCAAATATGAATTTTACGGCGCACTTGATTCATAAGGTATTTTTGTGCAAATAAAACCAATCTTCTGTTCCACAGGTAATAAGCAGCAGAATTTGAATTCAGAGTTAAGTTTTCTTAACAGCATAATTTAATCTATTGTATCGTCAAGATCATAGACATAATATATGACGCCAGATAAGTACTTTTGAATGATTTACTGCAACTACAATGATATAGTGTACAAATAAAAAAAAATCTAGTTTTCAGATAGAAATATTTCCTATTCCACGGATACGAAATTAAAGGGAAGTATAGTTAACCAGCGGGGAAGGGGGAGCGGGGAACATATAATCAGTGCTGATAAAAATTACTTGAAAATTTGTGCCAACCAAGTAGTCTAAGAGGCTATTTTGCCATTCTGACAACCTTCATGGGCCATCGTACTCTTTTTTTGGGAAAATGACAACCTAAAGTAATGTCTATCAAGTTAGGTTTTAATGGGCCAATCAGTTTTTGACGAAAATCTGTCAATAAGTTTCAGGTTATGGTAGCCGTTTATAAATTTGTCGAAATAATCAGTTGCAGTTTTGGCGGAGGATCATTCCAGAAACATTTCTACCGTCTAATGTCATAACCTACATTTCTTATTTGTTGACGAGAAGTTGACTGCTCAAAGGCTTTGATGTCCATTTTTAAATTGGATAGGGCTGTCAGATATAAATTTTTTATAGTGAACCAGATAAATAGCATTCATATGTGTGTCATTTAAAAAAAATATCGAAATTGCTAAATTGAACAACAGTAACTATTTTAAACCATCCTCTTAATGTTGTCTATCCTGTAACTTAAACTATAATAACAGGATAGACGGTAACAATATAGACACATTTCTATATTTATGAATGTTGTTGTGAAATAACTATACTCCATTTGCAGTGATAATGTTTTTCTTCTGCGGCTTAGTTTCTAACACGTTATTGCACTTTTTACAAGTATAATGTTGTTGTTATTTATAAATTTGTTGGCAACAGCATAAACATGACAAAAGGGTACGTATTTATAGTTTTTACTCAAGCTTCTGAATTCTTTTCTCTACACTGTGATGTAAGAAAAGTGCCGTGTACAATTTTTAGGATCTTTGTGCTTTTAAATCATTACTGAATAGTTTAATATTCAAAAGGAGAAATAATTTACCGGTTGATCTAGTATCGGCAACAGGATAGACATACATTTCATAAACGTCGATTAAAATTAGTTTGTAAAAAACGTATTACATAGAATAAAAAAGAAACTGTGATTTGTCATTATAGTTAATACAAACATTCTAAAACAGTTCATTTAGTAGATTTCAAGGCAATCAGAAAAACCGACAAAAAAAATAATGTATTTGTTACCTTGAAACTGCATGTACGCTCATAAATTACGTAAAACTTATTTATAGTTGAATCTCATATAAATGGATCTAAATCGTGATTATCATTGATTTAAAGACTCATAAATGCTACAATTTTTTTCATTTAAACACTTGCAACTACGCGTTTTTCATTAAAAATACAAATTTTAGCAAATGTGTACTGATTTTTTGTTTAAATGACTCATACACTAAGTTTGGTTCAAATACTTTTTAAGCCTGAATAGACAACGAAGAACAACGTATGGCTAGTGATCATGACAATAACTCTCATACCTTTGATCCAATGAGCTAACAAAAGGGGGATACGATTTGAGAAATTGTATTTACATGTAACAGTTTATTGTTTTTTTCTCATATGTCTTTGCAACTTTTACCTTGAAATGTAAATTGTTTACTATATTTTTTAATTTTAATACGACCCCCTTGATTTTTCCTGTCGAAGTTGGTGTAAACACCCTTATCGAGACTTTCCGTAAATCTCTATTAGTGGATGAAGAAGAAGTGCCTAGTTAGATTGATCTACCAACCTTCGACAAGAAACGTTGCAATCCTAGTCAATTGGGATCGGAGTCGAACGCACCTGCCACAAGCGGTGTTCGAACTCGCAACCTCAGTGTTAACAGGCTAGTGATCGCTATAGAAGACTTTCATAGTCCACTCGGCCACCGATGCCCGTTTACCACATTAAATCGATCAATTTTCAATAACAATTAATTATCAGGGAATCCCTTACTAAAATTGTAAAAACTGTATATTCACGAATAAACAAAGTGAAGACACCAACTGAATTATATTACGATCCGAAAATGCTGTAGAAAAATATATGATGTCAACAAAATATTATTTTCAGTTATTTTTTACTTAAATAATCAACCCAAATAGCCATATATATATATACAGTAAAAGAAATATGTTGATAGTCTAAATTTTTTCTCAAAAGTACACCAAGTACAAGATGCTATCATGGTTCTCTGATAACATTCATGACTCACCATTCGATAGTGTTTTAGGGATTGCAAAATCCAAAATAAACTTATTTCATATATCCAGTTAATAAAT